GTGCATTGCTGGGCTCGCGGGAGTGTGAAGACGAAGGTGGAGGAGAAGCAGGCTCCGGTCTTCCACGGGTAGGGCTCCTAGGCGTGATGGTTGCCTTTTGGTGGTCGATGATAAGAGGACTTTGGTGGAGATCGAGTGGTGTACTCTCCGTTGGCATGGCAAGCGTTGGCTTCATTGTGCGCTCATCGCGAACGATGCGGGCCGTCACTTGCACAGACTCTGGCTTCTCAACTCCTCGCTGTACGTTGTATACTGTCGACTTGACTGTCGCCGACTGTTTCTTCTTGTCAGGCGTTGTTGAAGCAGATGAAGCCAAAAACGAGGGGCTTTCGAGACGCGGCGTAGATTTCCCAGAGGGAGAGATCTCAACAGGTGTTGTTGCAAAGAATGAGGATTTACGCTGGGCGACGGAGCTTCTAGTGCTCAAAGCAGAGCTCGCAAGACTTACTTGTGAAGCCGATTCCCTGTTAGTCTTGTCTGCAAGTGCTTTAATCCTCTGCGAGATGCCGGAGGAAACGTTGATCTTCTTCGGCGCGGTGCTCGAGTCGGACTTTGGCGCGGGAGGCCAACCGCCCGAGATCTTACGGCCAGTCTGCTCAGGTGACAGGCGGCTGATGCCATGGTAATTCGACGATGCTGATCTGGGAGGCGTTTGTAAATCTGTCGCAGAGGATTTTCTGGGGAAGAATGGGGTGATTGGCGACTTGGACACCGACATGGGCTTAGCTTGATGTACTGTAGCGCTTTGCAGCTCCTCCATGAAAGAATCATCCGACAGGTACTCGGTCTCGGAATGGTCCGCGCTGGGTTCGAGTGGATCCAAGACAGCACGTCGCTTTCCTTTGGTCTCGTACCAACTTTGATGCTGGGAAGACGGCATGAGCATAGACTCCCTGTTGCGTCTCTTGGACTGTCCTTCCTCTTGCTGGTACCCTTCGTTCGACGGCATGTAGATGGTAGATTCGCGGTTCGAGCGGCGTTGTGATGGCATATCATTCTCCCATGGCCTTAGGGTGTCCCTCTTGCTGCTGTCATCTGCGTCATCGAACGACGGCGCTCGCTCGGTAATTACTGGGCCTTGCGCAATCTCCTGTGCTTCTACAGGCGGGACGGGCGTCGTGCTCTCAGGAACTACGGTCGGCGTGCTGTCAACTGATTGCTCTTCATCCACAGAATCCGCATTGTGCGACTCATCTTGCTCGTCAGACTTTTGCGATTCTTCCATACCTGCCTCGTCCTCCGAAATAGACGACGGCCGTGTTGAAGGTGCGCCGGTGGAACCGTGGGTCTGGGCGGATACGGGTGACGAAATCGAAGCAGTAGAGTTTAAGTCGTCTGTCTCGGTAGGACCATCAGCGAATGCAAGGCCAGAGCGGCTTAAACGCGACGAGGAAGGGAGATCGTCGCCAAGCAGGGTCTCCTTGTCGGCGTCAGTTTCGGCCTCAGGTTGTGCAGCGGAGGGGCCATCATCGGGCTCGGTCGCAGTAACGGTCGCATCTGTCGTAGTTTCATCTTCGGCGTCAGTCTCCACCTTTATCTCCGCGGCCTTGACTTCTACCTCCGATGCAGCATCTTCAGTCGCCTTGTCCTTCCTCAGCTGTTGTGCCTGTTGTTGTTTCTTGCGCATCTCGAGAGCCTTCATGAGTCTTGTCCGCTCCTGTGTCGATCCTCCAGCCCTGAGGTGACTCCTGTATGCGGACACGGGCATCGACTTGGTGCTGGCGGGAGCTCTCGTGGAGTATACTGACGAGGCGGGGGATTGTGGCATTTCAGGCATTGGAGGAACCTGGTGAGGAGGAGGAATGGCGATTGCGGGGAGGGTGCTCGAGGCGTTGGTCTTGGACTCTTTCTTATCAGCTGTCTTTCGTGCCGCAGAACGCAGACCTGCCGGGAGCGATGACTTTGGTCTCGCCAGATCTGACGGCGCACTACCCGAGGTGGATGGTCTCCTGCCTTCGAGCGATGGCCGCGGCCGTGGTCCCAGCTTAACCTTTGGTTTGGTGTACTGCGCATAGTAGTGCTCGTACAGCTCGTTGTAGTTTGGTCGTGCAGTCTGCGAAGAGTTCCGGGGTTCTGGTCCACCTTCGAAGAGCGAGTCGTAGCTTTTGAGCGTGTCCTGCAGATCCGATAGATCGGTGTCGTCTGGCGTCGTCGGCCCTTCCGTGACCGTCTCCATAGTGACATGGGAAATCTGTGGTGACAGCTTGTGCTCGACGACCTTCTCGTCCAGCATCAACGGAACCGTCTCGGCTTGTGAGTTGATCGACCCGCTCCTCGTGAGATTGTCTTCGCTGTCTCTAGATGGCTCCAGTATGGTGGGTATGTTGGACTTGGCAGTTTCCGGTCGTGCACTGCCGTCTGCATCGGGCTGGGCGCCTTCCTCAGCGGCCTCTTGGATCCAACTGAGCTTCTGCTGTCGCGACGATCCGCTGGAGGAGGAGCTCGACGGGGCGGCGGTGTGCAGACTGCACGCGGCGGTAAGAGCGGCATCGCTGAGCTCTTCCGGGGTGGATATGGATAGGACGATGTCGTGGGGCGCAAACTTCTCGGTGATGTTGATGAAATGGACACTGACGCGGGCTGTCGAGCGTTAGTAGTGGTAATGACAGGAACAAGCCTCCACATACCCTGAAGCAGTCGCGAAGTCCCCTCGGGCACATATTTGACCAGGACCTTGCGCCGGCGGTACAGCAGGAGGCCGTACAGCGGTGACTTTTCCTCGTACTGGGCGACGGCAGCGCGCGCCTCGCCAGCACCGCCAGTGCCGCGGGTCAGGACTTCGACGGCATCCCTGGACGTGTACCTGAGCAGGAACCTAGATGCCAAACGTTAACACGTGGTCCGCGTGCGAAGAAGAAATTGGGACGTCGTACCAACCGCCAGCTTCGGCGAGGGCACCCTGGTACGCCTGTGTAACCTCGACATTGTCCAGTCCGTTCAGCGACATGGTGCCAGGTCAGCCGGAAAGCGACGCTCGGGGGTGCAGACTCTCAAAGCCGTGCGTGTCTGCGGCGAAGAGTCGTCAAAGTCGTGATGTTGAAAGCGCCAGAGGGCCAGGAGGTCCGGGCTAGTAGGGGTCATGCAATCAGGGATCCGAGGTGGCAGAGTATCAGAGGCAGAGGCAGAGGCAGAGGCGCATGGGGCGGCGGGCCATTGGGGCTGCTGCGCTGGGCGTCGAGGCAAATGGACGCTTCAGGAACTGTGCCGTGCAATGCGCCTAGCAGTCTCCTCCAAAAGAGCAAGCTGGAGGGAGGGCAGTGAAGGCGAGCGTGGAGCTGAAACACAGGGGGCTCCATGGCCTGAGAGCACTAGGCACTTTATCTCCGCCTCCCGCTCCACACGCCTTCTCACCGACATCGACTCCCCAGACTGCACCACTGCTGCACTGCACGTGTGCCCGTTTGCTCTTTGTTTTTATGAGCGACGCGAAGTTGTACACGCGATTGCATACAATGCAGTCTCCACGTGGTATCCTCCGATAATCTCGGATACTCGCACGCATGACAGCCCTAGCCCGCATGAAGACCCTCACCAACGCAGGTACAGCCGGCAAGTGCCGGATGTCACGCTGCGGAAGACGTTTAGTGCACGCCTGTAGGCTTATTAATTACTAGTCTACACTATTAATTTTCTTATTATTTTCTCTTAAATTAGAACTAAGATGCGTTTTACTTAACTTAATACTTCTCTCTAACTTACTATAAGCCTAGTAATAATTAGCACGTTACTAGAAGTAGTAGTATTAGTAAGAACTCTTTTATAGAGTTATTTAAGAGCTTATAGCTTTTTGCGTATAAAGAGCTTAATATTAGAGTTAATAGAGATATTAGCGTAGATAAGAATAGTAGCTACTATATATAAAGTAACTACTTAAAGCACACCTATTTAGGTGTAATTAATAGCGTCTATATATATAGTAGCGTATTTTACTAGCTTTTATTTATAGAGGTTAGTAAGTACGTATTTAATATATTTAAAACTACTAAAATATAATAATAGCGTATAGGTAGCTTATAAAGTAATTATTATTATTATTACTATTTTAGAGTGTGTAGATAGAAATAAAGAAAGAAGAAATAACGTATAAGTATAAAGTTTTTATACTTTTATTTTATCTAGGTATTAGCTATAGCATATAACTATAGTATACTTTAGTTATTAAGTTAAGATTTTTCTAAATTTCTATAGTTAAGAAACACTAAAGCTAAGGCTTACTCGGACACGTAATACAGCCGGCAATCCTGAGGCGCCCCAGGTCACACCCTATTCGATCAGATCGACAGTCAAGGGCTAACGGCTATGAAAGCCTTCCATTGCTTGTGCCGCCGGTATATCGCCGATGACAAGGCGGGGAAGAAGAAGCAAACAGCTGCCAACCCAGCAGTCGATCGCAGTCCCAATGCGCATCTTCTTAGCTCAAATTCGAGCATCACCAGACGTGACAGCACCTCGCAGCTATACTAGTCGATACAAGTGCTATAGCACGACATCCCAGTCCATTCCACTTTGTTGAGGGCCTGTGGGAACGCGTCGGACCTTTGAAAAAATGCACCTCGACTCCGCCGTGCAGTATAAACAAGCTTCCTGCATTGTTTACTGCAAAACACGGTACGCGTCGCGGACTAGGAAAAGCTAGACGGCAGTCCGTCTGCAAAGCTCACCTACCTCGACACTAACTCTCCGGTGCTGCCCCGCTATCCATCCAGAACAGCTTTGCCCCTTGCAGCGACCCACGTAAAGACACCATGCACGTCGTTGGCCATGACCAGGCATGCGCTGCATCGCTGATCGGTCGGTAGCGGCCGCGAAAAAAAGATTGAACAGTGAACCACGACCATAACCACAGCCTTCTGCCTCACCACCACCACTCTACAAACGTCAACTTCTACCCTTCAATCCCAAATCCTAACTAGCCAAATCTCCGGTCCCAAACTATCGCATCGCGAGAAAAGCAATAAACGGCTATCCCGAACCACTAGTCACTACCCTCAACCCTAACAATGACATCACTCCCACCCGCCAGCGCCCTCCCCCACGCCTCCGAGTCCACCCTCACCAACGTTCTAGACCTGCTCTTCGAGCCCTCGCCTCCCCTCCGCACCATCACCTTCCCCGTGCTGCGCTCCGCCACCTTCCCCAGCTACGACATCCTCATCACAGCCGTCAACGCGCAGCTCGCTGCACTAGCTGCCTCGGATGACGAGAGCGATGTGAAGAAGTTGTCTGAGATTCTGTGTTCGCACCCGAGGTTGGGCGAGAAGAAGGTGGATAGCGAGCAGAGTCGGAAAGAGCAGGCGCAGTTGCAGCAGGGTGGGGAGGAGAGGGAGATGCTGGCAAGGTTGAATGAGGAGTATGAGGGGAAGTTTCCGGGGCTGAGATATGTGTGAGTCAATTTCTATTTTCCGGACTTGACTATGTTTAGGGGTTTGCGAACTAACGAGGGTTGTAGTGTTTTCGTCGATGGTCGCCCCAGATCGGAAATCATGGAGAACATGCGTTCGCGTATTGATCGGGGTGATATCAAGGCTGAGCGGCAAGAGGCCATTCAGGCCATGTGTGATATCGCTCTAGACCGAGCTACCAAGTTGCAGAAAGCATAAGATGCGACTACGCTGCAGGAAGAAGTCTCCAGAGTGGGCTGAAAGATGTCACGATCTCTAGGATGGATGAGTTGAAGCTAGGCATAACTAGATATCTCGGTATGTTGGATCATATCGTAAATTGAATCAGACGGTATTTTACACGCAGCATGCTCTATTGATCGTTCATACGCAAAATAGAACGCCAAAAAGGTATCCCCTCTCCCCAATTCCAAATATACAATTCGCCCTACCCAAGCGTGGAACATCTGCGACGATAAAAATCCCCCAAACTCCAAACCGTTGGACGTGAAAACGGTAAACAGCACGCTTTTTCCCGCAATATAGTAGTACAACAAACAACAGATGCCCTTTTGTTCTTCTTTTTTTTTGTGGCTTCCGCCAGCCCCCATAATCCGGATCCTTTTTGGAATTTTGATAATACAAACAAGTTGTTTCCTTTTTCAAAATGCGATGCGAAGTGAAATTTTCAAGTTTAAGTTGTTACGGGACGTATGGTATGCGCCTTGTTGCAAAAGTCTAAGGCGCCGTCGCTAGAAGGACGTGATGCCGATGATATATGCTGCAGATCCAGTACGTAGATTCTATCGCGTGTGAAGCTCGCTCCGTTGAGTACTAGTCTCATGATCCAAAACGCATGAACATCAAGTTTCTCTGTCGTCTACGCTCCTCTTCGACGTCGTTTGAACGGGCAGGCTCATTTCCTCGGCCTGGGTAATTGTCCAAATGGTTCCATGCCGTCGGGTTCTGTGCTGTCATTGATGTATCGAGCGCAGTGAAATTCGGCGACTTCGACACTGGTAAGAAGTTCGGCGAAGCGGGACCAGCCAATGGCATCAAATTCGGCGAAGCAGGTATAGTCGCAGATGCCGAGGCGAAATTAGGCGACGTCGATGCAGGAGGGAAGTTTGGTGACATTGGCGCTAGTGTTGGGGCAAGATTAGGAGAAGCCATCGTCCGTGCTGTAGGTATAAAGTTTGGCGAAGTAGCGGCCGCGGTGTTCACGGCGAGCATCTCCGGTGACACTGATTTCGTTGGTAAGATTGGCCGGAAGTTTGGCGACATGGCGAATGAATCTGTTCTCTTGGATGTGGACTGCGATGTTGCGAACAGGGCGGGAAAGTCCGGCGACGTTGATGCTAGTGAAGGTGCTGGGCTATCGAAGGTAGACGCGCTTGGCCATATCGCGTCTGCGCCTTCATCTACCTGGTCGTAGTCGCCGACAACTGGTTCTTCGTGGCCCAACACGTTGAAGTCGGAGAAAATGCTCGTGGCATGTGTAGTGTTGGTGTATGCTGTGGTGGAGGAACTAGAAGTGACGGCAGAAGGCGAGAAAGGCACATCATCGTCGTCTTCGTATGGGTTTGGTATCAGCTCATCTTCGTCGTCAAGATGAGCGTACGGGTCGAACGCATCACCACTATCTTCAACGTCGAGAGCGTCATAGTTCGAGAGTCCAAGCGGCGATGGCGGTAGGGGTAGGTAATCTCGACGTGGTGCCGGGTCTCTTGCAGCGTGAGACCATGCTTCGTTTGGCGAGCGAAACGCAGCAACCTCATCGGAAGGACTTCTCAATGTTGGAGACGGCGAGGTAGGCGAAGGGCTTCTCGAAGACGCTGGAGAACTGGAAGGCGATCCAGATACTACAAAGTGGTCTCCAGTCCTCACAGCAGCACTGGGCGGTACTGAGGGATCCCGCGAGTGTACTGGTCTCGTATAAGTGTCGACACTGCCATGGTTGAACTCTAGCCTCGCCAACTCAAGTTGTGCTTGTTCTTTCTCCTGCTCAACTGGCACACGGCCGCGTCCGTACTGCGCCTCCTTGGTCACGATACATCGTCTGCGTATGCCATTGAGGATGGCAGCCTTTCTTAGCAAGTTTCTTCCAAGAGCCTTTTGCTTGGCCCATACTGCAATCTTAGAACTACCGCGATCCACAATATTGGTTGCTGGGTGCGAAAACTGTGGCGATAGTCGTGAAGTGATGAGGAACAATCGAAGGCGCCGCTTCTTCTTCTGCACACAAGAATGTTCCCCATCGATATCCGCCACCGCTCGGCTGCGCTTCCTGGATCCGCACGGCGATGGGCGAGGCAAAAAGGTCAGGCCCATGGTGGGCTGGAGAAGTATATTGAACTCCAAAGTAGACGATTGTCCAATAGGAAATAGATTTTCGAATTGTCGAGTTGGTGATGTTGCGTACTCAGTGGGGGCTTGCATCATCCTCCGTTGCCCAACTTCATGCACTGTCTTCGGGAGATGGAGCTGGTGACGCGAATCGGCATTCTCGCACAGCAATCCTGATCTAGCAGTGGCGAGGTGTGATGGTGCTAGTTCAGACTGTCGAAATGTCGGTATGCCGTGCGGATACGGCGCGAGGTTGACAGATGGATGTGGAGCCAAAGACGCCGTGCTAACGAAGGGCGAATCTTAGCTTGGGGTGTAAGCGTGCAATATCGAGGTCCGGCCTGTCACGAGACGACCTCTGGAGCCCGAGACGAGATGCGAAGTAAGCATGCGCGTGACGCAGTTACTGATTGGGCGAGTTAATATCGAAAGCCAAAGGGTCGCCAGTGAGGGAACATGTCGGTGCCAGAGAGTAAGCAGTCGGCGACGATGAAAGTGGTATTCTGTCTTGTGCAGAATGCAGAAGAGGGGCTAATAATATCGCTAGGGAGGTGCAGGAGCGGATGACCCAGCGCTATGGGCAAGATGCGGAGAACCCCAGTAGCCATCTGCCACACTACCACTAGTGACATGCACACATCATCTTCTTACTGGACAACGTGAGAAGGTCTTTGCAAGCCACGGCATCCAGACACGCACTCGGTGGGTTGACCACTGAAGACTCGACCGCAGCATCGGTCAAGGCCAGCTTTGTGAGGCTGCAACACGTCGTAGCGGAGGCGAAAACGGGACTTTTTGCTCGTGTTTGAGGGAAGAGGCGCACGCGGACTGAAGAGGAGGAGATGGGCGCTGGCCGGTCGGAGAAGGTCTCCATGCCCAAACTTGATTCAAGTGAGGCTTCAAGCTTCAGGGGTTCCCGTCTGTCAAACCCTGTCGCTCTTCCCCAAGATGCCGCCGATCAGCCCAGACCCCGAATCCTCCAGCTGCAGCCAACGAGAGCACCATCACGCTTTTTGCCATCCGCCATCGAGCAGGAAGAGTTTGCGGCCATGTCATCACTTGGAGAGAGCTGGGTTCTACCTTGTCCGATGTAAACAGATGACAGCAACACGCGCGTACACCATCAGACGAAACCACGTCGCAGCGAATAGTAGATTCGATGTCCGAGGCACAGTCTGACAGGGTCTAGGGCACCGACGATCCGAGAACCCTGGGGTTGTGCGACGCATTCGGCTCCCCTCGAGCTGAGCTGCACGACATGGGATTTACGATCGCCCAATAGCGGGGCAGTCGCTTCCATGTCTTGACGAAGATGCCTGGATCACTGGGCAGCAATTTGAAGAATCTCATCATAGAGCCAGACCGCTTGATGGCAAGATCTATGCAGAGTATGGTCGATGCCTTGCTTCCGCTCATTCCTACACAGGCGATCGTCGATGCTCCAGCATCTATCTCACCTGTCTTGATGTCAGCAACTCTGCCCGCGGAGAACACCTTTCGCCTCTGCGGACCACGGCGCTTCACGAACAACAGCCACCTCACAATGTCGTGCTCCACATGTGACCTTCCGTCTGTTCGTGTAACAACCTTACGTTTCGTTTCCCCTTCTCCAGTCCTGCACTCCAGCTTACACCGCATCTGCAGCACACGCTGCACTCCGCACTGCTGCACAACACACACGCACACTCATCCCATTCGCCCACCCCATCCTAAATCTGCAAGTCGTCACGAGCCCTAATCTCGCTCGTCTCGTTCGACGTGTCCAAAAAGACTAATGCTCAAGCTCGCACATCGGCGACCTCCATATTCGCCTTCTCTTTTTGTGCTGCTGTCTTCTGCGAGAAGAGGGTGGCCTAACACTGACGCTCCTTCCTCTTGAACAAACAAAATTCACGCAACGCATGACAGCCCAGCCCAACCCGCATTCGTAGCGCCATGCATGAAGATGAGGCTCAGCGTGCGTCGTTTGAAGAAAAAACTCGTTCGTTTTACCGAGAGAATAAGCAATATGGACGCCACCTACACCACATCGCGATGGGTACACCACCCACCTAGTCTAAGTGAAATTACCAATGAGAAGCTCCTTGGCACCACACTTCCTCGAAATGCGATTTGCGGGACAAAGCTTGCTATGAGCTTGTATGTAAGTCGATCAGGATGCGCAAGTATACAGTAGCGGGCGATTGTGCTGTGTTGGTCGGTGGAGTGGGCCGAGGGGGAGGACAGTCCCGTCCCGCTCTTGGCAATTGGCGACTGAACGGTGAGCGAGGGATAGTAGAGCCCGAAAGGGTAATTAGAGCGAAGATGAGAGAAGGGTATTTGAGATCATGGTGAGTCGGTAGTGGAGAAAAGCTCCAGCAGTGGACATGACTATCATGCGCACTGATATGAGTTCCAAAATGTACGCTCATCCATCTTGGGCGTGATAGGGTATTTGGAGGTATTAGATCGGAGTAGATACGATACGGACCGTGTTTGTTGACTACAATGGCTGCTGGTAAGACGTGTATTACTCGACTACATTCGCTACGTAGTAGACTCTCAGACCAGGTGTCTCTCTTGGTTGTCACCTGACTCTTCCTCGAGCACATTGCTCTCTTCTCTATACACTGCCTGGAGATTAGACATTCTTCAGTGTGAAGATCCATCACGCTGCTTCCTTGAGGTGTCAAGCGTATTGGTTGACGCGTAGCCGCATGGGCAGCTCTCGATACCTGCTTCGTCATCTCGCAACGTGTCTGCCTCGCATTTCCTTCTTCAGTGATGCTAACAGTACCTCTAGTGCGACTCTGTCCAAACACAGATACCTCCTCAAATCATAAGATCTGGATCCGGCTGCCAAAGGTACAGATCCTTATCCGCAGTCGCCAGCAGATTGGTCCTCGGGTTATATCCCACAACAGCGCTCTTTCCCTGTCCCGGTAGTTTCTCCATAGGCTCGAGCATATTGTTCGGCGCTGGTGCTTTCGAAATATCCCACACCAAGAGACCGTCCTCGCCGCTACCTCCAATGAGGAACTTGCCATCTGGCGTGAGACACACGTCGCCCTGTCCGTTTGCAGGACCACTGCCATCGGATTTGGCACCGGTTTTGTTGGTGACGGATGCGCTGGGCGGGAGACGTCCCGAGGAACCAGCCTTGCGGTAGCAGAAATGCGTCAGGTCGCCTGAGAAAGCGTCTAGCACGAAATGTCCACTGCCATTCGTCGCGACGACGAGACTCTTTCCGTCGTTTGTGAACTCAATCTTGGTCCATTCGACCTTTTGTCCTCCCATGAAGCGCTGCTCCGCCTCGAGCAAGTCGAATGTTGCGAACGGCGGCTTATCGTAGTTGCGCATGTCGTAGAGGAGGACGTTCTGTGTAGGCGGCGACGCGATCGCGATGACGGTCGCCGAGGGATCGTAGGCGGCGAGGTAGGCGCCGTGGAGGTTGAGCATGCCGACGTAGTTGGGGGATTGCAGGTTCCATAACCGCACCGTGTTGTCTTTCGAGCAGCTTATGAAGTCGTCTTTGGACGGACACAGGGCTATCGAGGTCACTGTGTCGGTGTGGCCCTTGAAGTAGCGGATGTACGAGTTGTCGTGTGTGGAGAGGAAGCGGATGGTGTCGTCGATCTTTGTACTCGCGCAGATGATGCTCTGGGCGTGGTGGCTGAAGCGCGCAAGATGTACGCCGTACTTTTGGCTCTTGAGCTCCTTGGCGTGCTTGCCTTCTTTGCAGTTGTAGATTTGGAGGGTATCGTCGTCGCGTGCGACAATGGCTAGTTCGCCCGAGTCGTCAAAGTCGAGGGACGTTACTGACGTGCCCTGGCCGCCCGATTTGAAGCGCTACAAGGTGTTAGTACTAGATATACACAAAGGGATAGTATGGTAGTCTCACCCTCTGCGGCCGGAAGCTCGTTATGACGTCGGCAACTTTCTGTGTCGGCGGGCCTGCAGGCGGCGGTGGAGGCCCGCCGCCGGGTGTCGCTGAGCCAGCCATGTTCGAGTTGAGCTCCTAATCCTCTGCTGCAACAACTGCGTTCATCTCCACCTCTTGAGTCGGCGAATCAGCGGGCGCGTAAACTCAAGCACGCGACGCGACGTGGACAATTAGAGCCGGCGGAATGCGCTGAAGAGTTGCAGCATATGGAAAGAAGTGGGTCCGAGCGGTCTTACGTAGCTGTCCATGCCGAGCCGAAACCGGAACGATTATTCATATTCACCTTGACATTTCCTCAGCATTGCCATTGTTACCGCAAGACGTGTGTAGCTTCAGTTTCGCCTAGTCTTACTTCCATCCCTAATTCCTACAAATCTCCTCCCGTCGTGTTCATGATCGCGCGGTAACCCACGTCGCTACCACTATCGAATACGCACTCCACCATACTTCCGACTTGCGCGCCGAAGAGTCGCATAGAGTGTGAGAATGTCTACAACCCTCGGGTAGGTACTCAATGTAAAACTTAGCTACAGTATCGGTTGTATTAACGACTACCCCCACCAGCTCCTTCATAGCCGGCGGCATAGCAGCATGCGGTGCAGTCACAGTAACCCACGGCTTCGAGACCGTCAAAATCCGGTGCGCGTCTTCGCTCGCAACACCTGCGCGACCAGCTCGTTGACGATCGCCCAGACTACAACTACAAGGCGAGCTTAAAGCGAAAAGCGACGCGCCGCGATTATACAAGGGCGTCTTCCACGGTGTCAGCGTCATCTTGAAGAATGAAGGACCCAGAGGTTTACTACGCGGTCTGGGATGCGCAGTATGTCTAGCACACATATCTATGAGCAATGGGACGAACAGAGACTGACGCGCCCAGTACGTCTACCAAATGACCCTCAACGGCTGCCGACTAGGCTTCTACGAACCCCTCCGCAAGACCCTCACAAACGTCGTATACAGCGACCCAGCCGTCCAATCCTTCGGCATCAACCTCTTCGCAGGCGCTTCATCTGGTGTCCTAGGCGCAGCAGCCGGCTCCCCCTTCTTCCTCGTAAAGACG